TCTGATCATGGGATTTCTTGTTTTTGATGTTTGATCAGATTTTTGGTTGTTTTGTAGAAATGGGCAATTGATTGTTTCTTTTTGTACGATTGTTTTGTGGAGAAAAAAAAACATGATTTTCTATATAGGGGTGGGACTGGATCAACCAAGAATCCTTGATTGATAATTAAAATTTGGATCTTGAAAAAGGGACTTGTGCTTCAGATTGATCAACTGAAATTCATGTGGTTTTTTCAAGAATAAAAGTGAATTTTGTCTTTGGAAAAGCTTCCATGGCTTAATTTAGATATTCACCTTTTAAAAATGTTTCTTCTGCAAATCATCACATTATTCCCTTGCCTTTTTGGCTAAAAAGGCTTTCTTTCTACAGAATACTTATTTTGTAGTGAAACTTTTCGAAGTGATTTTGTCGGTAGACCTATTAAAGTTCTAGCCTTTAAATTTCAATTGCTTAGGTAAGAGTTTCCAGTGTTTGAGATCTACAGGGAAAGAAAGGGATGCCCCAAAATTTCCCAAGTTATCAGGGTTAATGTATAACAATGGTTTGTTCTTTGAAGTTTGTAAGAAAATTTACAGCATTGAAGGAGGGTGGAATAGTCTGGGAATTTCTGTAGGAATCGACTTCTGTGAGAACTGAGTTATACCAGAACTCCCAACAACTTTGGGCATAAGTCAAAGGAAAAGTCCATTGCAGAGATTCAGTAGACCTTGTTAGCTAAGAGAGTTTTTCAAATACAGATATGAATTTTCGTCTGCAGAGATTCTTAAGAGTTGCATCAGTAGGAGTTAGTCTTCATCTTTTCTTGCCGATTAAGAGTAAACGTCCATAATGTGTGAGATTAGCTGTGTTGTTGGAATTATCTATGTTAACCTCATAAGTCATAATTACCTATGTTGCATCTTTTGTTGATCCCAGGATCCGCAAAAGATTTCACTATTTTCTTGACTTTGTATTCTCTACTGAAACTTTATTGGCATGGTGGGGAATTGAGGTATTGCCTTCGTATAGATGTCCAGCCTTTAGAGTTTCCAGGCAAGAAGGTTTTGTCATTATTGTGCAAAAAGCAGTGTGGCTACAATGCTTGGTCATCAAATTTGCAGATGTCCAATCCGAAGAAATCTTGCTTAGTCGATTAAGAAAATTCCCTAATTCTGAGTAGACCAAACCGATAGGGTGCATGAGCTTTCTATTGCATCTTTTGCTTATATTAGAAAGTCTAAAAGTATCTCTACCTCCTCTGGTTCAGGGTCATTAGAGAGGCTTTAATTGATTGCAGACCTTTAGTTTAGGCAGTTCCATTTTAGAAGGGAATATTTTGAAAGCACACGATTTCTTGATTGAAGATGTCATCTCCTCTATTTTACAACTTTTAGTATGAGGAATAAAATTTCCTTTGTATTCTCATGCAAATGGAGTGCATGATTCATGGACTTGGAGATTTTTTGTGCAAACCCTTCATGTGATAACACTGTTCTTCAGGGCGTCTCATCATTATTACTTCTTAAATGATAGTAAATTTTTTCGGTTAGAAATCATCTGTTTTTTGTTTACCAAGATGGCTGATTGAGCTTATAGGCTAGTTTACTGTAATGAGTCCCACCTAAATGCCAAGTTTAAATCTCATTACTTACTACTCAGTTATCAACAACTGATTTGAATATTGATTTTGAACATGACTGACCGCTCCTTCGAAATTTGGAATTTATAATGAAGTCTGGGACTGAGATTCCTTTAGTTTCTTTTACTGTGTCTCTTTTTCCAATTGTTGATCTCATTGAAGTGAAATAACACATCTAGAATTCGTACATTGCACATCCTTTCAGATAATGTGCTAATAGTTCTATTTGAATACACATGTTTTTGGTACCTCTTCCACTGTGTCTGTTAGAACATAGAGTATTATGCTTTTCCCGACATTGCTAATTTTGTCACTGATTCATTTTTGCCTTTCTGCAGTAATCTCTCTGATGTTCTGGTGGAGGCAATATCAAAAGGTAAGATACTGTCACTGTACCAAGGTCTGGGAACCAAGAACTTGCAATCTTTCATTGCGCAGTTTGTGTATTTCTATGGATATAGCTACTTTAAGAGACTCTATTTGGAGAAAAGTGGTTCCAAATCCATTGGAACAACAGCCAATTTGCTAATTGCAGCTGCAGCTGGCGCTTGTACAGCCATAACAACTCAGGTAAGAAGTTTGTATGATTGCATTTGATTAGTATCTTGTTAAGTGACTTATTGGAAAGAGAAGAGCTTACTTTTTTTTATAGCACTTGCATGTTGTGAGAAAAATACAGCCTAAGAGTGTGTTTTGAAGACGTATTTTATGATCAACAGCAAATGCTTCTTGAGGGACAAGCAAGCATTTTGTTCTTTTGGCTATGGTAAATGCGGTAGTGCCTATCTAGTTGTTTCCAACTGAGGAGGGAACTAAGAAAAGAAATTATTTAGACGTTGAAACTAGTTTTATGCATCTTTCAAATAATACGTGTCCTCAAATTTCCCCCAAGGAAAAATTGCAAAATTTTGGTTGCGCCTTAGAAGCAGGGCTCCTAATCTCAATCCTGCAACATAGACCAGTAAAAATTAATGGAGCGACTTTCCAGGTTGTTCATAGCTGCCCATTGCAAAAGATGTAATGCAACTCTCTCAATTTAAGATTGTAGCTCTAAACACTAAATTTCTCAAATGTTTAATCACGGAGTGTGACAAGGTCATGACTTGTGTATGATATAAGGGTTTTCTGTATTAAGAATTGAAAATGTAGGCACATGAGCCAAAAACTCATTGTCAAATGTCCATGGTTCTTACTCCAATTGTTTGACATAAAATTCCACGAATATTTACGCCAAAAGCTCAATTGGATTCTGATGTTAAGTTATTTGATGTTCTTTAGCCACTGGATACTGCTTCCTCAAGGATGCAGACAAGTGCATTTGGGAAATCAAAAAGCCTTTGGAAAACACTTACAGAAGGTAGTTGGAGTGAAGCATTTGATGGCCTTGGGATTTCTTTACTATTGACATCCAACCCTGCCATTCAGGTACTTAAATATTTTCTTGTAAAATTGAAGAAGTGTCTAGTTGCACTAGTATACATATTTGATTTGATTAGATGGAGCCTTGTGAATTCAAGTAATGTTATTATATGTGAAGCCACAAATTTCTACTGATTGACGGTAGAGTATATGCTAAAATAGATGTTTATGTGATGTAGTATACAGTTTTTGATCAACTTAAACAACGATTGCTGAAAGATAAAGAGAAGACAACAGAGAAAGGCACATCATCGCCTGTTGTACTTTCTGCATTCTCTGCTTTTGTATTAGGTGCACTGTCAAAGAGCATAGCCACTGTTCTAACCTATCCAGCGATCAGGTTGGATTTCTTTTAACTTCTATCATGGATTGACATTATTTCAGATCCAATTTAAGCCTTTTAACATTAACCTAAAATCAGGTGTAAGGTGATGATTCAAGCAGCAGACAATGACGAGGATAAGAAGGCTGAACCTAAATCAAGTAAGACAATCAGTGGTGTCATATGCTCTATCTGGAAAAAAGAAGGATTCTTGGGTTTCTTCAAGGGATTACATGCTCAAATCCTCAAAACAGTGTTAAGCTCTGCATTGCTTCTAATGATCAAGGAAAAGATCTCTGCCACAACTTGGGTCCTCATACTTTCACTTAGGAGATTTCTGCTGCTCAGGCAGAGAAAGCTAAAAAGTGCTTAAATTGTGATCATTTAAGCTGAGTCTGTGTGAAAAAAAAGGCTTATATGAGAAATCAGAAGAAGAAAGGGAGTTCATTGCAAGGTTGCAGTCTAAGTAGTTAGTTCCAATTACAGTCTGCAAGGTGCTCTAGCAGAATGATGAATTTAAGAGAACAATATGATAGTTTTTGGTCTTCTTAGAAGAGAATAATTTGACTAAGATTTTTTTTTTCTTCTTTTGATAACGTTAGAATAATCTGGTTAAAGAATCTCTTTTTAGTTACTCTGGAACAAGTCTTTAGAAGAAATATTGGGGTTTTACTTCTGGTGGCAACATGATTGCACCTACTTTCAAAGCTCATTGTGATATCTTCTTGACTTTGGATTCTCGTTAGCATTTACTTGTCCAAGTATTGTGGAACCAGGAGAAAGATACAATTTTATTACGTATATTCAAACTATATTATTGGATTTATTTAAAGTCAGCGAGTCTGGGAGATCTCTATTACTATTTAATATGTGTTTTTCTTTGTTCTATATTACAGAGGGACTATGTTTAAACACAACGCTTCGGCTTCATCGTCTCACTTAATTTGTACAACTAAAATTAAATGCCGCTGGCAAGTCAAAGAACAGTTTTTGTATCACCACCAGTATAGGGCAATTATAATATGTATCACAAAAATGTATACATAATCCATCGATAAAAACCACAACTAGGTATACATTTTTGTGATGCATATTATAATTTATCCTTTAACCTTTTCTCTTTGAAACAAATTTTCCTTATCATTTCCTTTTTTCTTTCTTCCAAAATTTCTACAAGAAAATGAGGAACGAAAGCCGAATGAGAACATTCGTGACTAATTTACACTATGAACAGATTTGGTTTTATTCATAAAAATAGAGCAAATATAATTCATGAGAAATTACTCTTTTAAATAATTTTAGAATTGAATAACGTTAGCCTCGAGTTTAATATTTGTTTGTAGTTTAACTTTAAAGGAAAAAAAATAGATTATTGTCTAGTATTTACAAAAAATTAAATATCTAACCTTTTCAAATGGTAATTTTTTTTAAGTTTACTCAGACATAATTTTTAAATCATGATCTAAAAAAAGTCACAAGTGAAATAATAATAAATCAATTTCCAAATGGGCACAAATTTCACTACATAAAAACCTTAGGAAAGTAGGGACCCATAACCCCAACCCAAAATTCCAAGATCCACCACCCCTTACCTGAAAAAACCAACCAAACAAAACCCCCAAAATAAAAAAATAAAAGGGAAACAAATAGAAAGAGTTTGGGGGAGGATCACAGATCTGTGTCTGAGACTGAGCTGAAAGAACAAATTTGCATATATACACACATAAAAATCTCCTTCCTTCGTTCTACAGAAAGGAAACGAAGATGATGTCCAGCAATTACACCGCAATTGATAGTCAGAATGTTTCAGGATCCGTTCCTGTAAGTTTTTTCTCAATTTTTCTAATTTTTTTTCGGTTTCATTGAATTATTCTTCTAGCCGTTGTTCAGATCTAATTGTGTTTTTACTTGAATATTGCAGGCAGCTGCAGATCCACCTGGTCAAGTTGCCGTCAAATTCACTGGTAATGTCTTCACATTTTCAACAAAATCATAGGTTTTTTTTTTGGATCATATTGAATCAGTTTTGAAATTTTGGACTTAATTTGTGATTGCAGAGTCGAATTTGCAGACATTTCCACCTTCCAGTTCCCAGGGGAAAATCTCTGGTGCTTCTGGACCTCCACGTGATGCTGATGGTATCTGCTCCTAATTTACTGATATACTACTATTTTTATTTATGAAAGTAAAAAAAAATATAAGTAGTATGTAGTTTTCAGCTAAATTCAGCTGAGTTTTCTGCAAAAGAAAGAATAAAGGGGTAAAAGGAAAAAGAAGCAGGATTCTTTAGAATTTAGACATATACGTATTAGAGCTAGTGCAGCTTGTAGGTTTGATTCTAGATCTTTGAAGTTGGTGATATGACACTTGTATCTGGTAAGGGTCTAGCCGTCTAGGCACGTTCTGATGCTAAAGTTGAGTTTGCAAACATTTCCTATTCTCAAGTATATTCAATTCCGCACCCAAGGGTGTTACCCAGGGGCGGATTTACCATTCGGTGTTTGTATTATATCATTGGTTGCTTCATCATGTCATGCTTGGATTAACATTGAGGTTGTCCACGATACGGTTCTTGCACCAGCGGTAATACATGCTTTACCTAACCTTATGTATTTAAGATGTCATCAATAGAATCAGAATCGTAATAACACTGACATTGACAACATCTTTGACCTTGATATGATTTGAATTGTTAACTTGACAGCTGAAATGTTTTAATCACCAAAGGATAATGGACGTTATTATATTTGTCAACAATGTTTCGAATTTACTGGCGAAAAAATATTCTCGACTGGCATCTTTTACTTGGTGCAAGTTCATATGCCTATAGATATCCATGGTGGAAAGTGGTGCTTTAATTGTTCTTGGAGGTTTGGTCTGGAGATGTTCCACCTAAAATGGATCAATCTTTGTTGAACAACTTTGGCTTGACCAACCTACGCTTAAGTGGGTACAAAACAATTATCCTTCAAAACGGGATGTAATTAGAATAGAAGAGTTGGAGAGATGTTGGCATGCTACTGGTTAGAAGTGACAAAGTGGGGAAGATCTGTAAATTTCCCAAGAAACTGCCAGGTTAAATTAGGAATGCAAGTTTCTTGAACAAAACAAGTTAGGCGTAGCGCTAGTTCCTGCTTCAATCTGTTTTTAGTAGCGCCAGTCAAAATCAATTTTTTGGAGGTTTTTCTGGAACAGTGAGCAATTCAGTCCTGATGTTGCTTTGTGGAGATTAAAAGTGGTAAAGAAGGGAAATTGATTTATTAGCTAATGAAGTTTTTAAAGAAGTCTTGTTATGGAAGATCTTGATAGTGGGCAAGACACTACAAATAGTGGGGAGATCATTCATCAGAATGGGAAAGAACTCGTTTGCTAGTAGTCTAGTTACTATATGATACATTAGAATCACTGGAAAGAACTTGTTTGCTTATACAAGTAAATACGAATACAATTTGGTGTGAACTATAAGTCAAAATGAGGTGAGGAAGAAATCGTTTTTCCAGAATAAAAATAGGAAAATAAGGAAATTCCAGAATGGGTTTCGAGGGGTTGCAGTAATGTGGTCACATTTACTCTAGGTATACCTAATTCCTTACAGGTTTTATCATCTGGTGTTCCTTCATATTGATTATTGAGTTATTTATTATCTTCAAAAAGATAATCTCTCAAAGCTTTAACTGAAGGAAGCTGCAAGTCATGCTATTCTGTCCTTTTCGTTATGTTAGCAAATATATTTTTCTTAGTTTAAGTTGAATTTACTTTTATTCTCTTTTTGTTTAATAATTATAATTTGTTGTTGTAGATTCATTCTCTAAACCAGTATCTGGTTCTGATGAGCCCCAGCAGAGTGGTTGGTTTCGCGCTTTCACTATTGCTGCTTATAAGCCCTATTTTGATGTTGATACCTCGGATGTTCTTGAAAGGATAAAAGATTCACTCCTTCCTTTCACGGGGTCCTTTTCGGAGAAGACTGCCGATAAGCCAGACTTGTATGCTCCGTGTTCTTTCATTTTCTGTTGTTTATTGAATTAGCATTTATTCTCGTATATTATTCTGAATTATAGCTCTTGAGAACTTATCACTAGTAGTTGTTTCCTGGAAATATAGATTTTTAGGTTTTTGCCATTTTTTTGATAAGGTAGGGTGTGACCATTATAAAATGGCATTTATATTTTTTTATCCCATTCACTTCCATCAGTTCTCTGCCCTTGGTATTTCTCGTTTCTAAGAGAACAAGAATGCTTCTTCCCCCCGTTGACATTTCTCTTCTTGAATATTATTGTTCTAATTTTTATTTTTTATATTTTAGGTGGCGATTCCCCTCAACGAGTATCCCTTTCTGACTATTCCTTCCTACAATATTCTTATTGATCAGATATTTAGACCTTGATTTTTTTCCTCCCTTGGAGACATAAAGTGACTAAGAGGCATTTACTGGTTCACATTGTTGCCACTACTGCCTCTCTGTACGGCTTTAGCCCCACTTTTACCTGTTCTGTGAGTAAGAAAAAGCTTGTTCAGAACTTGGCTGTAGGAAAGTTTTGCTAAAGGGTGCAATGTAGGAAGAGAAACAATGTTTGCAAACTTTGTATCTAAACCAGCCTAAACTTTTGCTAGATGCTTATGCAGCCATTATCTGCACTGCATTGTGTCCTTTAAGATATCATCAGTGCATTTTTCAATTGTTTCCATATTTTCGAATTTCTCTACCATAACTATACAATTTTTTTATTTTAGGTATGGCCCGTTCTGGATATGCAGTACCTTGGTTTTCGTTGCGGCTTCCATTGGTACATTTATCACCTATATAGCACACAAGCTACAGAACAAGGAGTGGAACTATGACATCAACCTTGTCACTTGGTCCGCGGGATTATTCTATGGTTATTCCACTATAGTTCCTCTTTGCTTGTTTCTAGTCCTCAAGTACTTCTCTGCCCCATCTGGCCTCGTTCAGCTGCTGTGCCTTTATGGCTATTCCCTTTTTGTCTTCATTCCAGCATTGGTAAGTTTTATGTAATTGCCGGATACTTTGTTGAACTTTTGGAATCCTGTTACTTGATTAATCATTTCACACTCATTTAAAGTTTGGCATTAGGATCCATACTAAGATCTATGGCTACTCTGTTTACAGTGTCTGTCTCTTGTTCCCTGGGAGATAGTGAGATGGGTGGTTGCTGGTGTAGCTGGCTTCATGTCTGCCACATTTGTTGCTCTTAATCTGAAACACCACATAGCATCGGCTGGCGAAAGGTGGTTCCTCATTGTGGCTGCTATCTTCCTGTTGCAACTTGCTCTTGCTTTGGTACTGAGGGTTTACTTATTCAACGTTACAGTATAGCTATGAAACTATTGAAATGTATCTAGGATCGGTTTGAATTATGTCATATTAATCACAGAGAGAGCACACTGTTCTTCGTATCAACTTGACTGGAAGTGTGGCTTGGTCATTGAAACGGAACCGTATTCATTCATTTTTGACAATATACAATAATATAGTTTCACTTTCAGGTAAAGGTTTCGTTCTCAGCTTGTGGTCCTCTTTCCCCCTTTATCTTAAGGTGTATGTCAAAATCTTTGGTCGTGTCCTCATAAGTAGGTTTGAAAATGTTACACTTTTGAGCTTAAATAGTAGTCTTGATGTTCCAGGGATCAATGATTTGGTCAAGCATTTGTGTTTAGTGTCGAGATTCCACCTACAAGATATTCAAAGCATGCGGAAATACTTTTGCTTGCGATGATGACCCTTGAATGACCAAATTTCAATTTTTTGCCTTCCTTTTCTTACTTTGGTTGCTCCTTTTGCGGGCAACATTAGATTGTGATGATTAGTTACTATTTTCTCAACTCTTGCTGCTGCACTCCTTAATACTACTACTCTTCATCTCAAGAAAATACATGTATGCAAATTCAATTTACCAAATTGACGTATAAACTTTTGCATATGTCAATGGAGTATATATTTTTAGAATTTAGAAAGACCCTCGAATCTTTTTAAGTCACCAAGTTCGCTAAGACAAAGGAGACAACTACTGCAAACTATTTTTGCCAGTTGGCATATAGGAAGATCATAATCTCAAAGTTTAAGCTTATACATTATACAACACGTGTAGTGATCGTATCGTATCTTCGAGTTCAACCAATGTGTCATTAAAGGCAGTACTTTCTAATTTCCATGTTTATACTTGAATATGTCTTGATATCTTCATTACATATACAACGACAAAGGTTTTCTTTCTTCTTTTTATGGACAAATAAAATAATGAGAGTGGGAATGCAGTTTAATCACGCTAAGCCAAGACTCAATTAGCAACTTACCTAGCGGCTAGTAGTTTCAAATCTTTGAATAGATATAGAGATGATTTTATTGCCGCCCAAAAACATCATACTCGTTTATGTTATAATCGTTTAAAGAGCTGACAATAACTTTCTTCCCCGAAAATCATAGTAGAAAGGACATTTTCTCCGGGCATATTTCAAAAGTATCTAAAGAATTTTCAAAAAATAAAGAGGGCGGCTACTCACCACGCCAACCTCAAATGGCTCATCTAGATGCTACGCCTCTAACTCTAAGTGCTCATTTTCCAATAAGTTTAGGACAGTAGAGATATTAGCTAAGTAAGAAAATTAGGCATTAGTAAAAGGGAAAAAAACAAGTTGCCCAAACACAAAAACCCGTCATATGAATTGGGATGGGAAGGAGTAGATTTAATAAATCAAGAAGGCTGTCTGTTAACTTGTAACTTGTTAATATAAAAAAAATCCCAAAGTACCAAAACATATATAAGTCAGAAAAATTCAAGAAATTAGTACTCATATATAGTATAATCAATTAACCTATTGAAGAAAGAGTTAAGCTTTAGAGGAAAAAGCATAATCAACTTGATGCAAATGAAAGAGTACCAATAACTCATTTTACTATAGTATATAAATTAAAATTTAAACAAAACGTCACAAGATTTTATGGTCGGAAGAGACAGAGAGAGATGATAATTTAATAGTACAAATCTCTACTTTTAAGAGGGGTTAGAACAAAAGAAGAAACAAAAAATGGTATTAAATCAAGGAAGAAGCCTAACTCAAAACAAAACAAAACGCTAAAGATGCCTTTTATGAAAAATGTGTTGTTTCTTCAAAGGCAAGAACCCTTTTGATTATGAAATCAAAGCCATAAAGTACTTTAACATATTTTTCTCCGTCTGATTCTCGTGACACACTTTTCTTCTTAGTCTTAATGACATAATTTATAGCCATATAAATATCTTAGACTTGTTTTAAATCACAAATTTTGAAATTCTTTTTTTCTTTTTTGAACTTTGTAATAAGTCTAACGATGCCTCATAGATTGAGACAGGTGAGAGTAGGTGACAGTCAACACAAGAGCTAAATTAAGTTGTACTATACCTAGAAATTTGCACAAACATTAGGTTTTGGCCTTTTAGACTTTATGGAAAGATACTAAGCTAGAGTCAAGTTAGATCCTGAATTTAAGGTATGTGGATTTTTACCTAAAAGCTTATAGAAAAAGCCTATTGGTAGAAATTTCTAAGAATTTTAGCAATCACTGTTTGTGCTGACATTACATTTTGTCATCATCCATACTTCTCCAAGCATGTAACTTGTTTAAAATTACTAAAGGAAAGAAAGTATTCAACCAAATCCCTTTGTATATATTGACTAATTACTTCACACTTTTCACACGCACACACATTGTTTAATTAGAAAGCTACTACCATGCAGCTCCCTCAAATATATATACTCATTCACAACATTTAATCTTTTCTCACTTGGTTCATTAGCCATATCTTTCATTTTTTTCTCAATACAAAATATATCAAGCAAGAGAGACAGTGAGAAGAAGTTCATTAAAAAGGCCATGCTTGCCAGAACAAGTATCGTACTTATTTTAATGATCTTTGTGACGATACAACAAGATGTTTTGGGAGGTCGCGGGTACCTGATGGAGCAAGATAACAACAACATTAATATGGAAGATAATGCACAAAGTCCTGTAGCTACTACAAGGAGCATCAGCCACATTATTGGAGATGATGAAGGTGGTTTTGTTGCATATGTCAATAGAGAAGTGCCCTCATCTCCTGATCCCTTGCACAATAGATGAGCAAATTAAAGAAGAGATAATATATAGTTGTATATATATAGATAGATCATTGCACTCACTAGGTACTTGTTACCTCCTACCAGCATAAATGACACGGGTAACTCAAGAAATTAAATAACCATTTGTCATATTTTGTTTCTGCTAGGATTTAAGTCCTACTTCCATAGAGCTCATCAGATCATTGGGTGCGAGTAATATTCTTATATTTTGTATGTTAGGAAAAAGAATTGGTATGATCAGAGATGCTTCATAACCCCTTGCATGAAAGATAGAAACATGAATTGCTCTTGTGAAACATTGTCATTTTTATAATAATGGCCAAAACACTCAGGAGTTCCTTTGTTTTTTTAGTTTAATTAAGGAGAAATTACTGCCTTTTCTTGTAATCAACATCTCTGGAAACCCCTTGAGATTTCAGTATGAGTTTTTTTTTTTATTCTTTCATTAGTTTAATTAAATTGTGAAACCTGCTTTCATTTACCTATTTCCCACTCGTGTGAATGTTCTCCCTTTTCTCAAGTAGAATTCATATTATTGTGTAATTCATGTAGGGTCATTTGTGGAGTGTATAGAGTGGTGAACATTGAACAAGACTTTGAAGCTTGGAGAATAAGTCTAAAACATCTATTAATTATTGACTTCAATAGTAGGAGAATTAAATAATTGCCTTTTTCCTCATTAATTTGACTAATAATTGTAGTTGTGATTTTCATGGGGATGTGACTAATAAACTTGTAGAAAAAGATAACATTATTATGCACACGCGTTGAAAATTAACCTCATTGTAGGACCCTTTTATCACATGGATTAAGGAATAATTAGGTCCTACATTGAATTACTTCTAAAAGCAACTATGCGTTTACTTCAATTTCCTCTCATTTAATTTTTAATATTCAACTTTAGGCTCCCTTCTGCGTATATCAATTTGCCCTCTGAAAACTGGTAGAACCAGAGATTTGACAGGACATGTATCAATGTACATATATCTATAATATTCTCAAAAACTTGTTTGTCACATAAAGCAATTGTTTCTCAAATATGTTGCAAACACATTAGCAGAATTCCATTGATAATGAGAAGGCAATGTAAAGCTACCACAATCTGCAACAATTTGTCGGATTTTGAACTTTTTATGAATAAATCAAGGTTAATCTATTACTATGCTAGCTTAATGAGTGATGAACTGATTTTTTAACAAGTGAAATATGTATCCACTTCAACAAGATGTTCGATAAGTTAAAACCATTTTATTTTTTATAAGATATAAGAATAAATCACAATATTACGAATAAACTTGAGAGAATGAACAGGCAACCTACTGTCATTCCACCATAATGGTAGTGTAGTCATGAGATTTAATTTCTCATATTACTAACCAGCCCATTACTGTAAAATCCCTCAATTCAGAAATTATTAGTGACAATTCCATCTACAGTAGGGATAACAACAAGATATAGGTTCAAAAAAGGTTTAAATAATCATGCAATTAACATCTGACAATACAGTAATATGAGTTAAAAAGCAATCTATCAACTTAAACCAAAAATGACATCAAGTGGGAGATAGCAATCTGCTTTTCTATGTCGATGACCCACTTTAAATAAACTGTTTTCTAATTCGTTTGTTACACTTCCAAATTCAAAACTGTCCTTGCCTTCATTCCCTTGTTCCTCCTCAGGACTCCTTATAAGGAGAATCCAAGTTCAAGAGAATACATGATTTAGCTCTTTTCACAATGGAAGTTTAAGTGTATAAGATTGGATAGATTATCATGCCTTTGACTTCTTTCCTTTAGCTTCTTTTGCTGGAGGGGCCTGGAAAGGCATGAATGTCTTCCCACCCATGTATGGTCGTAGAACCTCAGGAATTTCAACTCCATCCTCCCTCTGGTTGTTCTCAAGTATACAGCACATAGTCCTCTCTGTCGCTGTAAGGGTGGAGTTCAATAAATGCACATACTGCTTCGCTTGCTCATTACCCTAAGGAAACAATAAATGTCAAAGTAGTTCAAATTTGTGTGAAACAAAATATAAACATTGGAAACTAAAGTTGACTTGCACTGTTTGATAACACACTCTGAATATACACTAGTGAACTACCTTTTTCTGTCCAAACCGAATTTCCAATTTCCTCGACTGATAGTCTGTGCAGTTTGAGCAAGACACAAGCTCTCTATAAGCCGATGATGCAGGGTACCACCCTTCCAGATCATACTTCTTTGCTGCTGCATCATTCAGTGCGCCAGAAACAATAGCCACAATTTGGTAAGGAATGTTTAGCTGTGAAAAAGAAAAGCGATGTTTAGATTTCCTTGAAATCAGCCTAATGATAAATAATATGACTAAACAATAGTAAATGGCTAATACTTGACACAGTGAAACAGAATCC